GCAGGGAGAGTGATCTGGGAAGGCAGAGAACACAAGAGAATCAGGTCCTGGCACTCCTGAAGGATCAGGAACACAGCTGTAACCCCTGATAAATGATGCCAACCTAGAGAAGCAGCCAGCCTTTAATGCTCTCCTAGGTCTGGCTCCGTGACAGCAAAGCACAGTGCTGTCCCACAGTGCTGCTTTGGCTTCTCTCAGCAAGGCCTGAGCAAGAAAGCAAGAGCAGAGAGCAAGAAACCTCCACATCAAAATAAATAACCACTACCACCATCCCACTGGGGCAATCTGGCAGCTGCTCCCTGCAGGGCTAAAAGGAAGGCTGAAACAAGTCACTTCGGCTGTGACCAAACACAGGGGGAGCAAAACTGGGCAGGTGAGGCAAGCAGAGGGAAGTTTAGTAGCTGAAACACAGATTAAGAAGCCATTCCTTAATTCTTCAACTAGTGACTTTGAGGAACATCTCAGTTCCCACAATCGGTTCCCACACGTTTTATCTGTGGGATGAGGTTTGGTATTTCAAAGTTTCTTTTTCAAAGGGATGTCAGAGCAACCCCCTGCCACAAAGTGCTCAAAGACAACAGTGGATGTGCAGTCCAGTATCTAAGCAAGGTAAAAGGATTATCCACATACACGACTCATTATCCACAAACACAGACCCATCTGCTGGGTTCAATCAGAGGGCCCACGAGGGCTTTTTTACCAGAACTGTCCCAAAAATGCAAACATAGCAGGTTTTTCAAGGCGACAACCCTGGAGAGACAAGTCTTTCCTCCACTTGTAGCTGGGATGCTAAAACAAATCCCTGAAAAGAGCTTCCTGGGATCTCCCCCAACACCTGCTTCAAGCACAATAACTATGGAAGTGGCACATGCTCCTGCAATTACAGTTAATAAATTCCCACTCCACTTAGTTTACTTGAAAAAAATGCCCCATGGGCAGGGATGCCAGTGACAGAAAAAGAGTGCAACAAGCCTTAAACCAGGAGCAGTGCTCTCTTACCTGCATATGAGGAGGGTAAGAGCTGCCAGGAGCCTGAGGAGAAGGCTGAGGTGGTGGGGAGGGAGCTGCAGCTGGAGGGGGAGGCACTGAGGCTGCAGGGGGAGCAGCTGCTGCAGCAGCATCCAGGGTGTAGTTTTTAAAGGCATCAACATATTCAGGCCTAGAAGAAAACACAGAGCCCCCCAAACCTGGTCAGCTGATGGTCCCCGAGCCTTTCACCCAAGGCCCCCCAGAAGCCCCAAGAGAGAGAGTTCAACTCAAGGGTCACCAAAATACATACTTCTCTACTGTGATACATATTATGGCCCCAATAGGAACATCCCTTGTTCCTTCTGGCACCAGGATCTTGGCCAAGTAGCATTCCTCCAGGCTCTCAAAGCCAACTGTTGCTTTGTCTGTCTCCACCTTCGAGAGAGAACAGGGACATGGTGATGGCAACGGAACTGGTGAGCTCGGGGCCTCCCAGCCTGTCACAGGGTCACACACCACACACAGCTCTGGGACAGCACCCAGGACACACACATGCAGCTCAGGAGGAGGCAGCCCAGGATACCTCTGCTATGAGATCCCCTTCGCTGATCTTGTCGCCCTCCTTCTTCTCCCAGCGCGCGATGGTGCCCATCTGCATCGTGGGGGACAGCGCTGGCAGGGCCACCTGTGGGGGACAGGGCAGTGTCACCACGGCAGGGACCACACACAGCCCAGGGAGGGACCCTCAGCACAGCCTGGCACGGGGGGCACAAACCTGCTGCAAATCCCCAGTGGGTAAAGCGGTAAAGACCTCAGGGCAAAGCCATCCTTGGTGCTGAGGTGAGACACTGGAACGGGCTGTGGCTGCCCCATCCCTGCAAGTGTCCAAGGCCAGGCTGGAGCAACCTGGGACAGTGGAAGGTGTCCCTGCCCAGGGCAGGGGAGGTGGAACGACATGATCTTTAAAATCCCTTCCAACTCCTTAAGCTTCTACGATTCTATCCAGGGTTATAAGGGGCCACGTCTCGGTCAGGGTCTGCCAGGAGAGGGGCAGGGATAAAGGACAGAGGTGGTGGAGCTGATGGTGGCACAGGGACTCGAGGCAGGGTGGGGAGACCCATGGCAGTGGGGGCAGACCCGCAGACCCTTCCCTGTTTGGGGTGGCCAGGCACTGAAATAAGGCTGCCCAGGGAATGATGGAGTCACCACCCCTGGAGGTGCTCAAGGGACGAGCGGACCCGCCACTGGGCCATGTGTCCTGGGGGTTACAGAGTGCTGGGCCGATGGCTGGGCTTGGCGATCCTGCAGCTCTCTTCCAGCCTCCATGACCCCGGGGGGGGCTGCGCAGGCAGGGGATGGAAAACCCGGCGGGAGAAAGCGAAGGAGCAGCGGGGTGGGGACACGACCCCGTCCTTCGGGGGACACGCGGGGGTCTCACCTTCTGGTGCGCCGGGAGGCTGCAGCGGCGGGCCGGGACGAGGCGGGTGCCCGCGGGCGGCAGGAGCGGGCGGAGCGCGGGGCCGCCCCAGGCCGGGCCGCGCCGGGCCGGGACAGCGCCGGCTCCGCCGCCGCCACCACCGAGAGCCCGGCGGGGCCGCACCAGCGCTCCGGCCGCGCCCCGGCACACGCGTCGCGCCAACACCCGCCACATGCTGCGGCTGGGCCCGGGGGAGCCGGGCTGGGCTGAGCCGGGCTGGGCTGAGCCGGGCTGGGCTGGCAGAGCGGCGATGGAGCCGCTCGGTGACCTCCGTGCGGGCGGCGCCGCGCGACACTGCACGGCCGTAAAGCGGCGGCGGCGGGGCGGGACACACCGAGCGGGGAGGGGATGGAGCGGGGCGGGACACACCGACAGCAGGGGATGGACCGGGATGGGACCGCCCTGACAGGGGATGGGACCGCCCCGAGAGGGGATGGACCCGGACTGAGACCGCCCTGAGAGGGGATGGAGCGGGACCGAGACCGCCCTGAGAGGGGAGGGACCGGGATGGGACCGCCCCGATGTGATGTGATGTGATGTGTGATGTGATGTGATGTGATGTGTGATGTGATGTGACGTGACCGGAGGGGACTGCGGAATGGGACGAGAATGGACAGAATGGGATGGGAATGGACAGAATGGGACGGGAATGGACAGAATGGGACGGGAGAGAATGGGAAGGGACAGTATAGGATGGGAATGGACACTATAGGATGGGAATGGACACTATAGGATGGAATGGATAGAATGGGACGGGAGGGGATGGGAAGGGACAGTATAGGATGGGAATGGACACTATAGGATGGAATGGATAGAATGGGACGGGAGGGGATGGGAAGGGACAGTATAGGATGGGAATGGACACTATAGGATGGAATGGATAGAATGGGATAGGAGAGAATGAGAATGGACAGTATAGGATGGGAATGGACACTATAGGATGGAATGGATAGAATGGGATGGGAGGGGATGGGAATGGACAGTACAGGATGGGAATGGACAGAATGGGAGGGAGCAGGACTGGATTGCATCGATACAGCCTGATGCAGGCACAGGCAGGATGGAACGGGATAGAATGGAACAGGAGAGGGTGGGATGGGAATGGACAGAATGGGATGGGATAAGACAGGATAGAATGGGGCTGCTTCCCACGGAGGGTGGCAGAGCCTGGAACAGCTGCCCAGGGAGGGCATGGACTCTCCCTCCCTGGAGACATCCCAAACCCACCGGGATGTGTTCCTGTGTCACCTGCTCCAACTGACTCTGCCTTGGACTGCATGAACTCCAGAGGTCCCTTCCAACCCCAGCTACTCTGTGATCCTGTAATTTCTCCACCACTGACTCCAGCGGGCTTTGTCACAAGAGTAAGTTACAAGTACGAGAACAGGAAAGTAACTCTGAGGAAAGTCTGACAGAAATAAATAAGCTGTAAACAGTGACAAAGACAAGCCCTGGATATGATCCACAAATAAACCCACTGGAGTCAGTGCCAAACTTAAGAGCTTTGAGCTACCTCCTGGACAGCGAAGCAGTGAGAAAATAAATAGTATTGTTGCTGCTTATTAAAGCTGGCAAAAATATAAAACCCAGTAATAACTAGCTGGATTTCCATAGTAAAAAAAAATAAATGCATAAAATTTACAAGCCCAGTGTTGTGTTAAAAGAAGACAACACAAAACATTTCATCATCCACCAGGAAATGAGTAAAACACAGTATAATGCGTGCAGAAATGTACAGAGAGCACTTGCACTAGTATAAAAATATCCACAGTCCTCAGACAAATGTAAATCGGTACAAAATAATTCCAAGAACATGTTTACAAAAGGACATGTCAATATAAAACAGTAAAACCAGGTTCCCCTTGTCCCAGCCTCATGCACAGCACACACAGATCACCCACGGAAGGGCCACGGGTACCAGGAATGCTCATTCTCATTCCCTGACTTGCCATTTGGCCTCCCAAGCCCACAGTGGCTGCAGAGACAGGCAAGGCAGAGACACAAAACCACAGAACCAAAGAGACAAAACCCACCCTCGGGGATTTTGGGGCTTGTTCTTTCCCGGGCTTCCTGCTCCTGCAGGAGTCAGCGCCCCAGGGCAGCGGTGTGGGGGAGTGCAGGGTGGCCCTGGCAGCGGATGGACAGCAGCACAGCGATGCCTGTGCACAGGGGTGACAGAGGAGAGGGCAGGAGTGCAGGGAGAGCTCAGTTCCACACGTGAAACCCCTCAGTGAACAAACCAGCACCGAGATCCCACAGTGCCCACGGCAGCGGAGCAAAGCCCGAGGGCCTCGGGAGACAGGACAGGTTCAGAGAGCGAGTGGGGAAAGCAGGGTGGGAAATGGAAGCCTGAGTTTGGGAGAAAGGGAGCGTTGCCAAGGTGATCTTTGCTTCAGACCATGCACAAAACCTCCAGAAGCCCGTTCCCTCCCCGGGACAGGTCCTGTCAGGCTGGAAATGTCCACAAAGTCCACGTGCAAGTCCGGGACAAAAGCTGGTCCCACCCAGCCTTCAGCTCCCGTAATCCAGAGGCTTCTTCGGACTCACATCTTGCTGCCATCAGTGCATATTTATGTAACACCAGCACAAGGAACCAGGCTCCAAGTGCCCAGGTGAGCCCACAGGACGTCACAGGAGCAGGGGGAGCAGGACGAGGGGGCAGAGCATCATTAAGGCCTCCAGGGTTTCGCTGACAGGACAAAGGTGTTTCCTCCCCACAGACCCGTCCTTCCAGTCCCAGGACACCACCTCCACCTGGGCATGGCGGGGTCAGGGGGCAGTGCCCACGCACACCACATGCAGTACCCGCTGTTTGCAGAGAGGCTGGGTGGTTTGTTTTTGTTTTGGCAGCTCGAGTTGGCCTCTTTCCTCCCAGCTCTCAGCGCCTCGCTGGTCACCCTTGGAGCTCGGCAGCCAGTCGCAGGTTTCCATAGCAACGAGGCTTGGAAGCTCCATTAATTCTCCCCGTGGTCTTCTTCCACCCAGGCCACAATTTTCCCCTCCCAGCCAGGAATGATGTCATCATCATGGAATACCTACCAATACAAAAAATTAAAAAAAATAAAAGGGGCAGTCAGATCCCAGCTCAGATTTCCCTTCACAACCCAGAGATCACAGACACAGCTGAGGTAAAAGTCATCTTTCCAGGTTTTAGGTAAAAAAGACCAAAAAAACAGACCAGGCCTCTTTAATCGCTGTTATTAGCTTTCTTTTTTTTTTTTTTTTTTTTTTTTTTTTAGAAAGGGTAAACTAAAGATAGAAAATATGCCTTTTCTGATCCAGACTACAGTCTCCAGCTGCTGCTGCTGCCTGTTCCCAGGGAGGGTGACCCTTTGCACTTGTCTTAATCAATTTGTGAAGCAGGAACTGCCCCAACAACCCTTATTGAGTCCAATCCACACCAACACCAGCCTGAGCACGAACAGGGCTGTATGATGCAGCACACGAAGGAACAGATGCCACAAACCCAATTCTCTCTGAGAAACCTTTAAAAGACAGTGGGAAAGTGTACTTTCAATACAGGCTCTCCCATTGCAACAGGTTTTATAAAGGCCCTGGCAGGGCCAGCAGTGCAGTCTGGGTTTTTGCCTGGGCAGTGCTGTGCCACAGACTGGCTGTGCTCTTTGCCCAAGGGGCTCTGCAGCCCCCTGGCAGTTGCAACCACACTCGTGGAACTGCTCTGGCTGGGCATGGAAACGTATTTTAGCACCAGAGGATCTTCATCTGCAGCCTCTTTGGGGGAAACTTCTGATATTCCATCAGTTTAAAGGTGAGGTGACCGCAGTCCCCAGGGCCGTGTGGTGGCACCGAGCCCAAGGCAGCAAGAGCTCAATTCCACATTTACCTCCTCCTTGACTGTGCCAAACTCCGGATCCAGGGCTTTGAAGTGGTACCTGTGGGTTCCCTCCCGATCAATAGCTGCCTTGAAATCCTTCAGGGTCACTTCCCCTAACCTGCAAGGGAAAACAAGCCCACCAGCTCAGGGAGCGCTTCAGGGAACTCCCCCAGCCAGGGGCAGGAAATCCAGAGGCCCAGTTAATGCACAGCAAACCTGTGCTGGTTGGGACCACCCCCAGAAAATCAAGGGAGGTGTTCTGAGGGCCTAGCTCACCTCTTTGGTATGCTGACCATGAAGGGGGTGAGGGAGCGGTCGGTGAAGTACAACACTTTGGTGCAGGCACTGGTGCTCATCACTGGGGTGCTGTGAGAGTGAGGCAGCTCTGCAAGGCATCAAGGGACTCGTTACCACCCAGGAAAAACATCCCCTGTCCCCTTCCCTTCCCCTTCTGGGTGGTGGTGCATTGATTTTTCTTTGCTCACTTGTGTTTCTCTCCCTGCCTTGACATCCTGCTTCCCTTCCCTTCAATATGTATATTGAATATACATACTCAACATGTATATGAATACATATTGTATTCAGCGCTTCTAATTATTCTCATTACAATTTCTGTTCAGCAAAGCGATGAGGAATAGGGAGAAACAGCACAGTGAGACTGAAACAGCACAGGAAACCAGAAGAAAACAGAGTTGCTGTAGGGACAGGAACAACAGGTGTATAGATTCAGGGTACAGAACACCCTGACATGACATGAAAATCCAGGAATAAAAACATAACTGAAATAGCTTGGAAACCATACCCTTACAGGCTCAAATGTTTGAGTACTGAAATAATTATCATACAAAAAAAAGATAACAAGAAGAAAAAAAAAAAAACTCTGAGAGATACAAAAATCAGCTTGAGCTGTGCAAATCGAGTCGAGCAGCTCAAGCACTCAACCCAACTCTGTTTTTCTTAAAGTGACTTAGACCAAAAATTGGGAATCCCAAAATAAACGAAGGGAACTATGGAAAGAACACAAATGGCAATGGCCTTGGTGCTGTTTTACTGACATGAAATTGAAATAAAAACACCGAAGGAAGAGGGAACTGCGCAGTTATCCGTGCCCACTAGGTGGTGCAGAGCAGCAGGAAAGCTGGAATAACATCCCTCTTCCCACCCATCCCAGCGACTGCCGTGGTTATTCATGCTGCAGTGCTGCTGAAGCCGCACTGATGGAGCTCTGCGATGGAGCTCTGCAAGCAGGGAGCTGTACCTGCGTGCCCTCCCCTCTGCAGGGCAGCTGCTCTGTGCCAAGGGGCACACTCCCAGGGGGATGCCGTGCCCCGGGGAACCAGGAATCAGGCAGTGGAAGGGGCAGGAGCTGCGAGGCACCTACTGGATTTGGGAGGCCAGGAGTCTCTGCACTCGTTGGTGGCTCTGCTGGCCGGCGATTTCCCCCGCACCTACGGCCAGAACGGGCACAGAGTGGCACCCCCGGCTGGAGCCCTCCGGCTGCTCAGCTCGGGGCTGCGCGCGAGGGGCACGGCCCGGGTGCCCTGGGGAGCCTTTTACCCTTCTCTCTTGCCTCTTCTGCGTCTCCACGCGGTGCAGGCGCTCCATGAGGCTGGCGATGCCCTGCTCCAGGCTGTCGATGGTGTGGTGCTGGGGGTCGTGGCCGCTGAAGCTGTTCCTGAGGCTGCGAAGGGCGTCCCGGACCAGCTGCAGGTCGTTTGCCTGCCCGAGACAACACGGGGTCAGGGCTGGCTCCAGGCTGCCTCCTGCCCTTCTAAAAGCACGGGTCTTAGCGAGGGGAAATCTGCCTTAAGAAGATAAAGGCTTCCAGGATGTCAGGGATGCATCCCCGAGGTGCACTCACCCCTCGGTGGGCCGTGGGAGCGGCTCCTTTTCCTGCTGTCTGGAGAAAGCCATTGCTCTGAGCACTGTGGCTGCTGTAAGCCAGCACCTGGGCAGGGGGAAAAGCAGGTGCCACGAGGAATGTGAGTGTTAGGATCCCCCCCAAAAATCCCAGAAATGAGAGGGCATGAAAGCTTTCTACATCAGTGATAATAACTCCCATCTTCTCCCAGGTAAACACACTCCCTAAGGAACGTGCAGGCGGTCCCATAGATCAGAGCACAAACCTGGCTCCTCAAATACAGGTGGAAAAAAGGAGGCAGAGCCTGGAAGGGGCTTGCTGCTGCATCCCAGGGCTCTCTGCAAGCTCTGGTGAATAGTCAGTGTTCAGGTGGCACTGTGCAGGGACAGGTATCAGGGCTGGCCTGTCCACCAAGACCCTGCCAAGTGCTCAATACCAGGCTCAGCAGGAAAATGAGGACATAAGCTAAACCCTGGTTTAACCCCTTGGCAGTGTCAGAGATGAAGATGGAAGCCAAGAGTCTCCAGCTCCCACTCACCCCTGCGCTCCCCTCACTGTTTCATCCCTCGGGATTTCGACACAAGCAGCTGAGCCAGAGTGCTCAGTGCTGGCAGCTTTGGGAATCTGGCTGTTCTGGGGGGTCTGCCTGCCTTGCTCAGGCACTGACAGTGAGACTGCAGAGCCAGGCCTCTGTGGGATGAGGTGGAGGGTTTTCTGTGGGTATCTACAGGGTGCTGGGCAAGCACCACCCACCACGGCTGCCCTTACCTCCTCAGCCTCCCTCTTCATGCAGTGAGCCAGCAGGGCCTCCTTGTGCTCCAGCTCCCGCTCCAAATCCACCTGGGAGGGGAGGAGAGGAGTCAACACGGGCACTGAGCCAGCCAGGTGAGTGCCAGGGCACCAGTGCAGCCCCCCAGTCCGTACCTGTTGGTAGCTGGCCTCGGACAGCTGCCTGAGCATCTCGTCCAGCTTGGTCTGGTGCTGCTGCAGGTGCCGGTCCTTCTGGCACAGCTCCTTCTGCAACACAGGAGTCAGGGGAATCCACGTGAGTGAAGCTCACAGCCACCTCCCCAGGGCAGGGGATTGTGGCACCTGCATGGTGCCCTGCACAGTGTGTGTCCTCCCAGCCACATCTGAGAGCTGAGTG